TTTTGCAAAAGATGCACTCAGCTAAACACAAAAGTGGCCAAGCTCACCACGGAGCTGAAAGAGGAGCAGGAAATGAATAAGTGTTTGCGAGCCAACCAAGTCCTCCTGCAGACTAAGCTGAAGGAGGAGGAGAGGGTGCTGAAGGAGGCCTGTGACCAGAAAGACCTGCAGATCACGGAGATCCAGGAACAGCTGCGAGACGTCATGTTCTACCTGGAGGCGCAGCAAAAGATCAACCACTTGCCTGCCGAGGCCCGGCAGGAGATCCAGGAGGGACAGATCAACATCCCCATGGCCTCAGCTGCCAGTGCCCCCTCCGCGGGTGGCAGTGGGAAGCTGCCCTCCAGGAAGGGTCGCAGCAAGAGGGGCAAGTAACTGGCAGAGGACAGCTGTCCTCACTGCCCTTGAGAGGAGGTTGTGCTGGAACGTGCAGCTGCATTTGAGGGTGGACACTGGATAAGTACATGGAGCCGAGACCACACTGTTTGGCTCTTTTTCCTAGCTTGTGGCTTACTGAGTGCACAGGGGCCCCTAGAAGAGCTGGTGGAAATGGCAGTGTTCTCAGGGGGCTGCTGGCTTTGACCGCGATAGTTCACCGATTGAAGACATTCTGACAACCGTTTTGCCTTCCTACTTGATAGATGCCCCCACTCTCCTGTGCATTTTTCGGTTGTATTTATTATTGAGTTGGTATATTTGGTACTGTTCTGAAGTTAGTTGAGACATTGATTTTATTTTTCCCCCAGTCACCTAGCACACCATACCAAACATCCCCAAGGTCATAGCAACTGCTTAAAGCACTGGGTACTAAGGCGTTAGGAACATCCCTTCGCATTAGTCTGCCCTCACCATCATCCACCCAGTCCTCTGGGCAACTGAAGAATTGTTGGGACGTTGTATGAAAAGAGGCTAGGCCAGTTTGTCACCAGCTCCTGGGCTAGTCAGAACTGTCCTGCTTGCTCTGAGGCTCTCCTGTGGAGAAGAGCAGCGAGGCCTTAGACCTGCTGATGGTATCATTTGCTGGCATCAGTATTTTTTGGGATGTTTACAGAAGTGTGGGTTTCTGCTTCCGGGTAGGACTGGGCCGGAGGGCACAGGCAGATTTTCAGTGATGTAGTCAAGGATACAGCCGGAGGCTGTTTCAACAGCATCCTCTGTCACACTCCCCTGCAGAGCTTTGGGTGGGCCCACAGAGGGAACTGCCTTTCCCTGGGACTGTACACATCCATCATTTGTGAGGAAGAAGTGAACAAAACTGAAGGAAGGCCCAGGTGGAAATTTAGCTTCAAGAAGTAATAGTTGGAAAAGTTAACACATGATGGGTGGTAGTGGTAGTTTTTTCCCTTTATAATTAGCCAAAGTTTTCAAGTGAGCACATTTCAGGCATATTTTTTTAGCCTAGGCCTGAACCTCCTCCCCTTGGACCTCACTGTCTGGCAGGCACTGCTGCACGTGTAGTCCCCCTGCGGTGGGGGTGGGGGAGTGGCTGCAACAGTGACTCCCCAAGCACCTTACCTGCAGCCTTGCAAAACGATTGCACCCACCCATTCTTGATTTTCCCATTTCTCCCCCAGACCTGTATTCAGAGATCTTAAAGCAAGAGTGGGGATGTCGAATGCAACCTCTGTCCCTTTCCTATAGAGAGTCTATTTTATTTAAAGTCTATTTTTACACTCTGTAGAGCCCTGCTCTTCTGGCCAAGTCCTTGTCTTGCATGACTGACCTTGCAGAAGCTGGGGTGGGTCGTAGCATACTAATGATCTGAATTAGAAGTTGCTTTCAAAGCTGGCTGCTGCTCCGCTCCCTGTAGTGGCCCTTCCCCAGCAGCTGGCAACAAGGAGGTTTTCAGCACAGGTGGGATGAGTGCTGAAAGGCAGCGGCCAGGGGAGCAAGCAGACAGGCACAGATGTCCACACTACTTGAAGGTTAGTCGGTGGGGGGGGACGGACCCTGAGGGTAAAAATCTCACCAAGATATGTAAGGGGTATGTTTTGTTTAGTCTGAGAAAATGGTCTTAGAGCCACATGGTTTGAATTAGACAAAAATATATAAGATTGGAGCTGGTAGTATTTTCTTGCAGGGCAGAAATGAACAACTTGACATAGCCACTACTACCGGGACCTACAAAATCACATTAAAATAACCAAACTTTGAACCAAGTCTGCCTTGTGTGAAGTTTGTGTCTGGTTGGTATTTGCTCAGGGCACAAAGCTAGCGATCCAGTGGCTTGGGTTTAAAACAAAGTCCCCAGTTCCACCCCTCAATAACAAGTGTGAGAAGCTTGGCCAGTCATCTCTCAGCCCTTTTGCTCCAACTTCCCAAACTAATATGAAGTAACCGAGCCAGAGAGGCAATAGGGGAAAGACTGGGATTTGGAGATCTGGAGCATGGGAGAATTCCAGGCACACAATTCTTTTAGAAAAGTAATTTATAAACCTGAAAGTCTTTCCAAGCCACCTCCACCCTCCCACCACCACCACCACCAAGTTGAGATGGCTTTATTTTGGGAATTGTCACAAGTATGACTTTAGAACAGATAGAGCAATAGAAAGCACCACTCAACGTGGCATGAGTGTGATCCAAAGTCCAAGAGGGATTTAAACAATCAGCCAGCAAGACGTGGCAGAGGATAAAGGAAGCCCCTTTTCTGATAATAGTCAGGATTCACAGCTACCAAATTGCCACGGTGCCCCATCACGTGTCCTGATGGCATATGTTGGCTTACGTAAGGACAGGATGGTTATTCCAAGGTTGGAGGAAGACCCTCTGTTTCCCCCAGGATCACACTGTCCTCTGGGATAGGGGTTCTGTTGCCAGTGTCCCTTTCTGTTAGCAGCAGGGAAAGGCTCCACTGCAAAGAAGGCTCCCATGTGTCTTTTCAGAAGACACCTGCACCTCAGTGGTGTCGCAGGAAATCCAAACTCCCTAGAGGCAACCCATCGCCTTCAGCAAGTTTTTGGAAGCGGGCTTTGCTGCTGGTCTGGTCTCTTCATCGGTGCCTGTGAGAAAGCCATGAGATGGGATGAATAGCATGTTTTCAGTGGCCACCCCACAGATGCGGCATTTAAATTTCTAAATGAAGAGCGAAATAATAGGAAGAAAAGGTTCCCTTCCCCAACACCTACTTTACACCAGAGTGGAGGCTAAATGTCTCCTTCCTGCCTGCAAAGTAAAATGCACTTTTCTTCGCAAACATTGTATCATGGGCTGCACAGACCAAATGGGACATCATTCTTCACATTGTGCATGAAGGGAAAGAGACTCTGGCACGTTACATAAAGGATGGTTTTTTTTGAAGCTGGCATTGTGCGTTGTGACCAGGAGAAGGTAACCTTCATTCGAATTAATGCCAAAGTCAACCCTTGCGAATTGCCTCTCTACCTTGCATCCAGGAATCTCAAGTGCTCTCCTGGCATGCCCACAAACACCTAAGGTAGTAGGTTTTACCAGACAGTCATTCTGCCAGCTGTATTTCCAGAAGCCAAAACTTATAAGACTGTTGTACTTTTCATGAGCACTCAGTTGTCTTGCTGCAATTCTGTCATCTTAGGAGAAGATGAAAGGGCTGTGCAGCTGGTTCAAAGAAAGCCAGGAAGCGATGAACAATTTGTTGTTTCATACACGATGACTGCGGTCTTTGGGGGCCTACGGTTGAATTGCTTTAGACCAAGGTTTTTGGAGGGAATCACCTAGAGAGTGTGGTTTGAGCAACTTGGTATGGAGCTGTGATGGTGCAGATGACGTTGCTTGTGAACCAACTGCTGAGCTCACTCAGTGAACTTAGAGCAGCTTTGCTTCTTGTCATACCGCATCCGAATCCCTACCCAAGACTCCTTTTAGATCTAGCCCCAAGGTCACCTTGATGAGAAGGGAATGTGTCCATGGGGAAAGGAGGGGAAAAACAACCAGCGAGAAGTCACCTGCCTGGTCCAAGGACATGAGTTTACTGTGTTTTTACGCAAATGACCGCAGAGTGTGTGTTTGCTCATTCACAGCGCCCTCGTGCATGTTGGGTGTGGTATATGCATGGGTTTCACATGTTATGTGACATGTGAAAACTGTGTGTGGTTCCTAGGATAAATCCACTCCAGATCATGAGACTGATGGTACAATTCAAGAGATAAATCTACAACACCGGGCATAAATGACCAGATAAAAAGGCTCTGCATGGACCTCAGAGCTCATCAGCCGTCTCTTGCCATCTACGCCAGCAGATCCTGTCCACTGGTTTCCTCCTTTAAAAAGGAACAGCCCACTGGGGCTCTCCAGAATCCAAGCACAAGTCTTCAGTCCTCTGTGCCTTGGTTGTGGCGAGGAGGCGAAAAGTTCAGCCCGTCCCTAGAGGACTGTGGGAAGTTGAGTCTTGAAAGAATGAGGTGTTTCCACAACTTGAGAAACTTGCCCGTATCACTTTACATCATTAATGCAGCTCTTAGTACCCACAGGCTTTCACGCTAGCTGACAGAGGAGGAAAAGACAAACTGGCTGCTGGGGCAGATCCCTGAGAGAAGTCCTGGCAGTCAAGAGGAGCCAACAGGACATTGCAGGCAAGTTGCTCTCAGAAACGGTCCAGCATGGAGGGCTCACACAGTGACCTGTCACACGGAGCCAGAGGGTTTTCCCGCAGCAGTGTCCAGGAACTGGATGTTGTGAAAGACCCCGCCTTTGCTGTAGCCAGGCCCAGGCATGGATTCTGATGGGCTAGTGGGGGTGCACTCAGAGGCTATGAGCCCCCAAACGTCTGCAGACAGCACAGTGGCAGAAAGCCACAGTGCATCTCCACCAGACTTGTCCTCAGGATGGAAGGGTGGGGGGGATGTTGTGTTTAAGTCTTCTTTGCAAAATGCACGTCTCAGTCAAATGGCTTCGCCTCAAGCTGCTCCGTCGCATTTGTTCCCATGCCTCAGAAAGTCAACACCAACTGGCTTTGATCCCAAACAGGGCCAGCTGCAGCCAGGAAGCCCTTCCACCCCCCAGCACATTTGACTCTAATTATGTGGGAACATGCCTGGACAAGGGCTGCTGCCAGAACTCTCCTGGCCCTGATGGGGGAGGCCCAGTATCTTTCCTAAAAGTCCATACAGGACCACCAGTGGTGAGATTCCGGGCTCTGCTCTACCAGCCAGGAAAACCTCTGGTTTTCCCCTCTCTTCCCAGGTGCCTGCTGCCTTCTCTTCTCCCCACAGCTCCTTGGCCCCTCCCAGTTATAAACCAGAAGGTTCCATCGTCATCGTCATCCCCATCCCCAAACACATTGCCCAGCTCAGCCCCCCAACTTTTTTTAAGTCTCGCTAGAGAGGTCTGCCTTTATTGGGGGAACCCTTACCGAGCGATCTTCTTTTCACCTTCTGAGCACATTCATTCTGACGGGAGGGGATGCAGGCGTGTGAAGAACCTGAATTGAATCAATGTCAGCGCATGGGAACCCTCGTGGTCTAGGAAAACCCCAAAGGACCTCTGTGAAGAGGCTT